AAAAAAACAAATGTCCTTTTCTTTCATTTACTATCTCCTTCACCTTTTTTTTATTGGCTTAACTAATCATTCTCCCTATTATTATATAATGTATCCGGACTAGTTTTTAATGTATTTGAGCTACATATTATGTATCTGATTTATGTTATAATGCATGCGAATACTCTGTAATGTATCCGAGCTACATATTAGTGTATTCAGTTTGTGTTACTTTTTAAGAGATTAATATAATTACAAACTAAAGAGAGAGATATTTTAATTTCATATTAAAACTATTTAATTCCTAAAATTTATTCATTTTTATATTCAAAGAGTGATATAGTAAAATTACACTTTTATTTATAATATTTTGAAGAGTGCGTCAAGTCAATAATGAATAACTATTATTGAATAGAAGTAGTACTTCTAAATCTAAATAAAATATCAATTTCAAACTATAACGATTTCAAATTATAACTCAAAATTATATCTGAATAAATTATTTGAAATAAATAAATTTGATCAATTTATAAGTTTAGATAAACGTAACGTCACGTAAATGATGGTAGTGTACCAAAATAGAAGTTTCTAAACATGAAAATATTGTGTGTGCAACAAATTGTGAAGTACCATTGTTCAATTTGCATTGAAACTAACATACTTTTCTTCTTTGTCTTATGAGAGAAGTTATTCTTTTTTTTTGTTTTAATTATCAGATATTCGATATTTATTGATTCGATTAATTTTAATTATATTCGATTTGTAATAATATGAATGAAACTCTTTTTTAATCTCATTCATGAAATAATACGGGACATGTTAATATTATTGTCAATTTTCCGTCTACAAAAAACTAAAGTATATATTATGATATGACATTTTTATATTTGACTTTTTTCATTTTTCAATTTCTTAGGTAGATGTGTGACACTTATAGTGAAAGGTATATAAAAATTTAATTTCACTAAAAAGTGTGCTAAACCTTAGTTAAAATCAGATAGATATTTCTATTTTAATATGTCTCTAACCTTTATAAGAATATGTTATATTTACCAAATAGGAGAAAACAAGCACAAAAAGTCGCTCACCGATCTATACACACACAAAAAAAACTTCGATTTGGATAGATATAAAATAATAGGAAGGAACAACAAGAAACATACCTACCTTGACGGGATCAATGGGTGACCCCATAAAATTCATGGCCTAAGTTGGTAACTTTCATTGCACTTTAGAATGGCACCAACTTAAAATCTGCCTAAGTGATCGAGTCTACGTCATAATTTTCTTGATTTTGTTTACATATATTAAAATGGGGTGATAATATTTTTTTTTCCTCATCATTTCTCTATCTTCCTTCCAATTATTTTTATGTTTTGAGGATTTATAACTTTGTCTAATATGAGAAGTTTTTCTCTATTTTTCTAACCTACCAATGCACGATTGATTCATCTGAACCTCATTTACAAGAAAATTATATTGCATGTATAACGTTAATTTTTTTTTCATATGTATGATAGACGATGAATTCTCTTGGCTTATTCATTTGTTTATTTCTTTCAAATTTTTTATTGTCCTTAGTAAAAATTTCAGATTCTGCAATTCAAGTATTTAAGAGTACTGAGTACAAAACAACCTAAAACAACATTAAGTGAGATCAAACTTTAAATTAATCAAACAACAAAGTATACAAAAGAAACATGATGATTTTCGATCGAATTTAAAGGAGCGATGAAATAGAAGAGAGAAAAAAGTGTAGAGTACCACATTGATAAAATACAAGTAAATACAAACTTTGTCCCAATATAAAAATGCAGCACATATTGGCTAAATAGCTCACGCAGCCACGCAGTGAGCACAAAGCGAACTATTCTTTCGCCTTTTACTAAAGAATACCGTGTGTGCGTTGCAAATAGTGGCATACGCCAATTTTTGGAGGGGTTCTCTTCATTGAAAGTCCCAACAATACTAGTTTTAAATTTTTTTGTATGTCTTATAATATAATTTATAGTATTATGTATGAGCAAAATTTGAGTTACAATACAAAAAATTCAAATTTAAATTGCTTTTACTAAGGTACGTAGTTTGTATTTGTTTCTTTTGGTTTGGTGAACATTGTAGTATTTGTTTCTTTTGGTTTGGTGAACATTGTAGAAGTAGTCGAAGTGTGTATAGGCCACAAAGAAGATGAAAAAGAGAAAATAACATTATGAAAATGTTCGTACATTCAGTAAGAGAAAATAACATTATGAAAATGTTCGTACATTCAGTAAGAGAAAATAACATTATGAAAATGTTCGTACATTCAGTATGAAATGTTTTTCATGAAAAATATTTTCGGTCAAAGAACACATAAGTTAAAGCAACTTTTGTAGTAAAGCATAGATTTTTGTTAACATCAGTTTCTACACTAGCACCTTTAATCTCAGTACAACTACATACTTGACTGTCTTTTACTCGATACTTTTCTTTTAATGACAAGGAAAATTCGTAGCCGGTACTTTGGGTACGTAACAGATAAACCCCCATACCTTGCTTCTATGCAATTTCTCATAAATCACACAAGAGATGTAACCCATACTAGGCCATTCCAGCGCCACGAGCTCGACCCACAAGGCAAACTCTACTATCGCCGGCAAGGGGAAGGATTTTGAACTTGAAACCTCCAACATAAAAGTCTCAAGCCCAAACTACTAGGCCACCCCGAAAGGTATGATTTACTCAATACTAAAATTCACTAGGGCTTTCTTAATCTTATTTTAAGTTTCCCATGGGTATGGTAAATAATTATTTGCTAATAAAATGAAAAAAAAAAGAAAGAGATGAAGGGCAATATATCCCTCATCGATTGACACAAAGAAAACAAGTATAAATATGGGTATAAAAGAATAGGAAGGAACAATATGAAACATACTTACCTGGACGAGGTCAATGGGCGATCAATAAGACCCATGACCTAGGTTTGTGACCTCCATTGCACTTAGGAGGGGTGCCTACCTAAGGTCGATCCAAGTGGTCGAGCCTACGTCATAATTTGTTGCAGCGGGGGCTTGCGTTCGCGCAGCCCCTACCAATATTTAAAGCAAATCTTTTTGTGTGTGTTTTCGCATTGTTGATTTATATTTTGTATCTTTGAGCTTTTATGTAATTGTATCATTAATTATTTACATGATGAGAAATTTTCTCGAGCTACGGAACTAATGAGTCAAACAATATCACAACATGTCAAGAATATCTTCGAAGTGTTTTAGCTAAAGAATACAGTGCGCGCGCGTTGCAATCAATGGTATACGCCAATTTTTGGAGGGATTCTCTTCTCTAGAGGACCCCAACAATACTAGTTTTAATGTTTTCCTTTGTACCAAAAACACCCTATAAGTTTAAAAACTTTTGTAGTTAAGTTTAATTTTCCCATGCAAGAGTATGATAAAGATTTGTTTGATATATAAATGAAACAAAAAATAATAAGAAGATGAATGACAATATTGTGGAAAATATTCCTTTTCTTTTTAATGCAAAGGTAATTAATCTATGTGAACATTGTCAAGTCGTTTTGTATATGTGAAATAGGAGAGTAACTTCCACATTACTGGTTAATATTTATCTCAAGTGTCAATTTCTTTACTCTGTAAGAAAAATATTTAGAGGACTTGAAATTATTTTTGTATGATAACAAATTTGTTACTTATAGAGTAAGGGTAATGAAAAACGTTGATTATACATTAGTTTCTTATATTCTTTTAATGGATGAAAACGTAAATACTTATAGAGTAAGGGTATGATAGGCGATGAATTCTCTTGGCTTATTCATTTGTTGATTTCTTTCGAATTTTGATTGTCCTTAACAAAAATTCAGACTATAATTCAAGTATTCAAGAGTACTAAGTACAAAACATCCTAACGCGACGTTTCATCAGTTAACTTGTGACCATATATTTCTCCTGAATCACCAAGAAAATGAAGTGAAAACAAATCTTAAATTAATCGAACAATAAAAGTATAGAAGAAACATGATGATTTTCGATCAAAGAGCGATGAAAAAGAAGAGAGAAAAAAAGAGTGTAGAGAGTACCACATTGATAAAATACAAGTAAAAACTAACTTTATCCCAATATAAAAATGCAGCACAGATTGGCTTAACAACTTACCCAGCCACGCAATGAGCACAAAGCGAACTATTCTTTCGCCTTTTACTAAAGAATACCGTGTGCGTGTTGCAAATAGTGGCATACGCCAATTTTTGGAGGGGTTTTCTTTATTGAAAGCCCCAACAATACAAGTTTAACTTTTCTTTAGGAAAAAATTACAATATACTTTTGAATTATCGTAAATAGTATAAGATACATTCTGTCATACTTTTAGGATATTGATGCTCTGCTTCTACTAAGGTACTTAGTTTGTATGTCTTTGGTTTGGTCCACATAGTAGAATTAGTCAAGCACATAACCAAAGACATTAAGATTAAGAGACGGTTGTATGAGATGAGTGGTCGGTACGATGGAAAAATATTTTTCATGAAAAATATTTTTGTCTAGGAACACATCCGAT